ATAAGCAGCAGCTTTGGGAATAGTCTTACGGCACGCTTGGACCCTGCATGTAGCCGTATTGTTCTTCAGCAGCCTGCCATGCTCTGCTGACCTTGGGACTTTCAATGGACTTGAATTAATGGCCTGCCGTGTGGTTTGGTAACATTGGGACTGTGCCGTTTTGTCAACCTTCGGCTTGTTAGGTTCAGCAGCCACTAGCTGCCTGAGTGAAGAGATGCCTCTAGCTTCAGTGGGCCGGGAGCAGGAGGCAGAAGTGAAGCCCAAATTGCAGGGGCTTTCACCCAGCCCCTAGAGCCTGGCACTTTGAACTTGGACTTTTAGCCTCCAAATTGTGAGAGAATAAACCCGTTTGCTCAGGCCATCCCATTTGTAGTATATTCTTGTCAAAGTGGCACTATGTAACCAGAACAATAATAAAAGCACAACCAAATGCACTGCCGTGGAGTCAGATCCCAACTCATAGCGACCCCTCCTTGGGTTTCTGAGGCAGTATGACTATGGAAGTGGATTGCCCACCTTCCTTCTGAGGAGTGAAGTGGTTTATAATACTTGCAAATAATGAGTTTGAAAAGAAACAATGAAATATTTTGAAAATTTTACAGTTTTTGATCAATTTTCGTAGATTTATTCCTAAGATGGAAGAATGGCGATTTCTCACTGTAAAAAATGTTAAAATAGCACTGAGATCACAACCTTTAAAAGAGGTTAAATGAGATGGATCAAGGTCACACAAGGTTTTCCACCGGTATGATGACCTTGTTTTTGTTCCTCCCCTTGGTTCTGTGCAAGTGATGGGACAAATGACTAATTTTACTAAACAAGCCCTGAGTAACAGCAGGGAAAGTTTGAGGCTATTAACTGCCAAAACCACCCAGATGAGGATGGTGGACTTCCAGAACAGGAAGGGTCTGGACATCCTGACATCCGCTCAATGTGAGACATGTGCTGTAGTGAAGTCGGAATGCTGTGCCTATGCACCAGACTACCACCAGATTGGTTAGGAGAAACAGATAGAAGCCCCGGACACACCTGATGGCTGGTCGCTGTGACCACCTGATTTTCTGCCTTCCTTTTAGCTGGAGAGGGTTTCTGCTGGGTGTTGGCCTTCTCCTGGATATGTTGTTGTTGTTATGTGCTGCCGAGTCATCTCCAACTCACAGCGACCCTATGCACAGCAGAATGAAACCCTGCCCAGTCTTGTGCCAGCCTTACAATCCTTGCTATACCTGAGCCCATTGTTGCAGCCACAGTGTCTATCCATCTTGTTGAGGGCCTTCCCCTTCTTTGTTGACCCTCCACTTTACCAAGCATGATATCCTTCTCCAGGGAATGGTTCCTCCTGACAACATGACCAAAGAAGGTGAGACGAAATCTAGCCATTCTTGCTACCAAGGAGTATTCCAGCTGCACTCCTTCCAGGACTGATTTGTTAGTCCTTTTAGAAAACTACGGTACTCTCAGCATTCTTCTCCAACACCACAACTCTAAAGCATCAACTCTTCTTTGGTCTTCCGTATTCATTGTCCAGCTCTCACATGCATAAGAGGCAGTTGAAAATATCATGGCTTGGGTTAGGCACACAGTCTTCAAGGAGACATCTTTGCTCTTCATCACTTGGGAGAGGTCTACCCAATCCAATACGTCATCTGATGTCTTGACTGCTGCTTCCATTGGTGTTGATTGCAGAACCAAGTAAAATGAAGTCCTTGACAACTTCAATCTTTTCTCCATCCACTGTGAAACTGTTTATTGGACCAGTTGTGAGGATTTTTGTTTTCTTAATATAGAGGTGTAATCCATATTGAAGACTGTAGTCTTTAATCGTCATCAGTAAATGCTTCAAGTCATCCTCACTTTCGGCACGCAAAGTTGTGTCATCTGCATATCACAGGTTGTTCACGAGTCTTCCTCCAATCCTGGTGCCATGTTCTTCTTCATATAATCCAGATTCTCAGATTATTTGTTCAGTGTACAAATTGAATAACTATGGTGAAAGGATACAACCCTGATGCACTTACTTCTTGATTTTAAACCATTCAGTATCCCCTTTTCTGTATGAATGACAGTCTCTTAATCTATGTACACGTTCCTCGTGAGTACAAGCAGGTGTTCTGGAATTCCCATTCTTTTCAATGTTATCCATAACTTGTTGTGACCCACACAATCAAATGCTTTTGTGTAGTTATCTTTCTTGTATTCTTTGCTTTCAAGTAAGATCCATCTGACGTGAGCAATGATATCCCTCATTCCATGTCCTCTTCTGAATCCAGCTTGCATTTCTGGAAGCTTTCTGTCAATATACTGTTGCAACCGTTTTAGAACCATCTTTAGTAAGATTTTATTTGCATGTGATATTAATGATATTGTCAGATAATTTCCACATTCTGTGGGATCACCTTTCTTTGCAATGGGTACAAATATGGATCTCTTCCAGTCAGTTGGCCAGGTAGCTGTCTTCCAAATCTCTTGGCATAGCCAAGTGAGTGATTCTACTGCAGCATACATTTATTGAAACATCTCAGTGGGTATTCCTAGGACCTTGTTCTTTGCCAATTCCTTCAGTGCAGCTTTGACTTCTTCCTTCACTACCATTAGTTCTCGATCATATGCCACCTCCTGAAATGGATGAACATTGACCAATTCTTTTTGGTACAGTGACTGTGCATTCCCTACATCTTCTTTTCATGTTTCCTGAATCACTCAATATCTTGCCCTTAGAATATCTCAATATTGCAACTTGAGGCTTAAATTTTTTCCTCAGTTCCTTCAGCTTGAGAAATGCCAAGCGCGTTCTTCCCTTTTGGTTTTCTAACTCCAAGTCTTTGCACAATTCATTATAGTAATTGGTTTTGTCTGATTGAGTTGCTTTTAGAAATCTTCTGTTCAGCTCTTTTATCTTCTCATTTCTTCCATTTGGTTTAGCCACTCTCTGCTCAAGGCCAAATTTCAGAGTCTCTTCTGACATCCATTTTGGTCTTTTATTCCTTTCTCGTCTTTTTAACGACCTCTTGCTTTCTTTGTGGATGATATTCTTGATGTCATCTCACAATTTCTCTGGTTTTCAGTCACTGGTGTTCAATGCATTAAATCTATTCTTCAAATATTCTCTAAATTCAGAAGGGATATTACCAAGATCATATTTTGGCTCTCGTGGATTTAATTGTCTTCAACTTGAATGTGCATATGAGCATACGATGGTCTGTTCCACGATCAGCTCCTAACCTTGTTTTGGCCAAAGATATAGAACTTCTCCATCACCTCTTGCTACAGACATAGTCAATCTGATTCCTGTGTATTCCATCTGGTGAAGTCTATGTGCATAGTCATCACTTATGTTGTTGAAAAGGTATTTGCAATTAATAAGTTGTTGGTCCTGCAAAATTCTATCATGTGATCTCCAGTGTTATTTCTATCACTGAGGCCACATTTTCCAACTACTGGCAACTCTTCTTTGTTTCCAATTTTTGCATTCCAGTCACCAGTGATAATCAACACATCTTAACTGCATGTTCAGTCAATTTTGGACTGCAGAAGTTTGTAGAAATCTTCAATTTCCTCATCTTTGGCTTTGGTGGTTGGTATATAAATTTGAATAGTAGTAGTATTAACTGGTCTTTCTGATATTATCCTGTAACTGACAGTGTTGTACTTCAGGACAGATCTTGAAACACTCTTTGTGATAATGAATGCCACACCATTCCTCTTTAATTTGTCATTCCTGGCATAGTAGATCATATGGTTGTCTGATTCAAAATGGTGAAAAACAGTCCATTTCAGCTCACTAATGCCTGGGATATCAATCTTTATGTGTTCCATTTCATTTTTGATAGCTTCCAACTCCCAGATTCATACTTCATACATTCCATAGTCTGATTATTAATGAATGTTTGCATCTGTTTCTACTCATTTTGAGTCATGCCACATCAGCCAATGGAGATCCTGAAAACTTTACTCTATCCATATCATTAAGATCATCTCTTTTCTGAGGAGTCAGCTCTTCCCCAAATTTTGTGTGCCTTCCGACCTGATGTGCTCATCTTCCAGCACTATACTCCTGGGTATTGCATTGTTTTTCTGTGTTTGCCTATGCTGCTGCTGTGGCCAGTGCCTCCAGATACAACAATGCTGGCTGTCCCTACCTGCACAGTTATAAGGCCTCCCCTTGGGACCCCCAGGGGCCTTGTGGAAGAGGGCACAGCAGATTGCAAGAGCTGGCCTCAAGGGGTGGATTGCAGGAAAGCAGGCATTTGTGAAGCCCAAAGTGGCTACACTCTTGCTTGTTGCTAGCTCACTTCTGCTTGCTAAGTCACTTCTATGTCACACCTGCTGGGGTGGCCTTGGATGTCTACAGCCCTAGTACTGAGCCACTTTTGTTAGCCAGAGCTACTAAAAAAACCCTGCCTTCCAATAGGGGATGAGAAGACTCAGGTTGACCTTGCCACCAGCCAGGGATAAGCCTTTAATAAACTTCTATATTATAATCCTGGAGCTGCTAGCTCCCTTTTTTGTTCTCACAGCACCTTAAGCAAATTTAGAGCTACTATTCCATGCCCAGACACCAAAGCATGAGGAAAAACAGAATATCTACACAGTCTCAAAAGTATCACCCTATCAGAAATAAAGGGTAAAATAGTTAACTTTGTAACACAATGGAAGGAAATGGGATAAATATAGAAACAAAACAAAACACTCTTAACCCAAATACAAGATCAGTGTATTTTATTGTATGCAAAATAACACCAATAAAATATTTTAAAATATTAAACACTTGCTTGAGGCTATTCCCTACAGCCTTACTTGTAATAGCCAACAATTTTAAGAAAAGTAAAATGTACCTTGGACTGAGAAAATAATGAACACTGATGCAGACAGTTCCACTGCTATAATGAAACTGTCCTTTCTGGCAAAGGCACAAAGGTACAAAGCTCAAATCACACCTTCTTTGAGTTGGCACTGCATTCCTGCTCACTGAGAAACTCTGCTCTGTCATCACACCCCTTCTAAAACCTGCTGTTTGACACTACAGCAGTAAGGATGAAACATCCCATTTTTGACATACAGTAAGTAGTCTCTCCACCATGAGTTCTTACATGTGTAGTGAGGTGTGAGGAATGACTAAAGGGCTTCCCACATTCCTTACATTCATAACACCTCTCTCAAGTATGAATTCTTCTATGTGTAGTGAGATGTGAAGAACTCCTAAAGGTTTTCCCACATTCCTTACATTCATAAGGCCTCTCTCCACTGTGAGTTCTTATGTGTGTAGTGAGAGCTGAGAGCTGCCTAAAGGCTTTCCCACATTCCTTACATTCATAGGGCCTCTCTCCACTGTGAGTTCTGATATGTGTAGTGAGGGCAGAGAGCTGCCTAAAAGCTTTCCCGCATTCCTTACATTCATAGGGCCTTTCTCCACTGTGAGTTCTGATATGTGTAGAGAGGGATGAGTAATCACTAAAGGCTTTCCCACAATCTTTACATTCATAGGGCCTTTCTCCACTGTGAGTTCTTGTATGTGTAGTGAGAGCTGAGGAACAACTAAAGGCTTTCCCACATTCCTTACACTCATAAGGCCTCTCTCCACTGTGAGTTCTTATATGTGTAGTGAGAGCTGAGAGTTGCCTAAAAGCTTTCCCACATTCCTTACACTCATAAGGCCTCTCTCCACTGTGAGTTCTTATATGTGTAGTGAGGGCTGAAGAATCACTAAAGGCTTTCCCACATTCCTTACATTCATAAGGCCTCTCTCCACTGTGAGTTCTTCTTATATGTTTAGTGAGGTGTGAGGCTCGACTAAAGGCTTTCCCACATTCCTTACATTCATAAGGTCTCTCTCCAGTATGAGTTCTGATATGTCTAGTGAGGTTCGAGGCCTGTCTAAAGGCTTTCCCACATTGCTTACATTCATAAGCTCTCTCTCCACTGTGAGTTCTTATATGTGTAGTGAGGGATGAGGCATGACTAAAGGCTTTCCCACATTCCTTACATTCATAAGGTATATCTCTGTTATGAAACTTTTTATGCAAAATGAGGGATAAAAGATGACACTTATGACCATGTATATGTGTCCAAAAGGATGAGAAACTACAGAAATGTTTCCCACACTCATTACATTCGTAGTGTTTCTCACCAGTGAGCACTGTCACAGGATTCTTAAATGTTGAAATACAAGTGAAGTCCTTCCCACATGCCTTACATTTATGGAGTTTCGTTCCATTAAGACTTCTCCTAGAAGAGGTCAGGTGAGAGGGACAACTGCAGGCTTCCCCACATTCCTCACACTGACAGGTACTGCATCCACTGTGACATTGGCTGTGATGTCTATGTGATGAGGGATCCGTGAAGGCTTTTCCACACTCATGGCATTCAAAAGCATTCACTTCTGGAGGATTTCTTTTTGGCATAGTAAGAGGTGGGACCTGGCTGAAGGTTTTCCCACACTGATCGTCTTCATCACTCCCACAGAGGTTCTCTACTGCATGACTTCTGTTAAGAACAGACAACATGCTGTTGTTGGAAATGAATTTGTTGTCATCTTACCATTACCAAACACAGTAAACGAGCATGGTGTTTGCCCTTGTTTCTTATCTCTTAAGTTAAACCAGAAACAGCCATTACTGTCACTGTTTTCCTAAAATATGTGGCTTTCTGATAATTAAGCCCAAGTGAAATATGTTTCAAATACTTGATATCTGACTCACAATTATGAAAATGTTGTATTGTGAAAATTCTCTGAACACAAAATTTTGCACCTAGGTTTATACACATTGTTGTTAAGTGCCAAGTCAGGTCCAACTCGTAGCAACCCCACGTACAACAAAATGAAACAACGCCTGGTGCAGTTCCATCATCACAATTTTGCTATGTTTGAACCTATGTTGTAGCCACATGTCAATCCATCTCACAGAGAGTTTTCCTCTGTTTTGCCAACCCTCTATTTTACTATGTATGATATATACAAGCAGAAATATACATACATATGTAAGTACAGAACATCATGACACCTTAGGACTTTCTCCAGGACCACTCTTTTCTCTTGAATGAGTAACACTCACCTCAAAAGTCTCCTCTGGTTTTTATGTTGATCTTTATTGCCATGTGGTCCACAGATTTCTCCTAACATGGAGGACCAGGTCTCATTTTTCATGAATCGTACCAAAATATGTTCACTGGGTAAGATTTCTCCATCATTAAGGTTCTGAGAGACTGACCCCATAATTCAAGTTGAGGTTCACAATATGAAACAAAAAGGAAAGGAATTATTAGAGATGAAAAGGTTGCTGTGAACCATCAAAGACTTGTGTCATTTCCTTGTTTCAACACTTTTGGAACTGTTTAAAAGCAATTTACTAGGAAATACATCCATGAGGATTAAGATGACATAATTAGTAGAGTTAAGCAGAAAGATACTGGACACAATATACATGTGACATTAAAAGATGAAAAGGGTCTCCATGAGCATAGAGGTAAGGGATTGCAAGATCAGAAAAGTAAGTTCATGTCCTCAGTCTGAAAGAGACTCTCTAGCTGACTGATTTGAACGTGATTCCCTATTCCTTGCTCCTCTGGGAAAACAAATGGGTTCCGTTCCTATGGTGCTCATGAAGAAATGCCTATCATAAGGGAAGGCAGTCCAGGCAAAGAACATTTCCCTGACACTGAGCCAATGATCTGCCCTTCAGGGTCTCTGACGATGGACAGGTGTGAGCTTATTTGCAGCAAAATAATCATGTCAAACTTGTAATAAATACGGTAAAACTATTTACAAGGTCCCTCCAACTCGCCGGCACATAACAACAACAACAACACAAATCTTTCAGTGCCCCAAAGTGACCCGTGAGGCCAATGCTGACCCACACAACATTTAAAGGGCTGCAGGACTTTTAATCACAAGAAGAATGAAAATTCACTTCACTAGATGCTGCTTCCTGCTCATGGTGAAGCAAGGATATGTGAGCTCCAAAGACAAGGACCATACCTATTTCATTTAACAATTTATTCCCATTCCTCAGCCTACCAACTGGACCAAAATTGGTAACTCGATGGCACATAACAACAACAACAACACAAATCTTTCAGTGCCCCAAAGTGACCCGTGAGGCCAATGCTGACCCACACAACATTTAAAGGGCTGCAGGACTTTTAATCACAAGAAGAATGAAAATTCACTTCACTAGATGCTGCTTCCTGCTCATGGTGAAGCAAGGATATGTGAGCTCCAAAGACAAGGACCATACCTATTTCATTTAACAATTTATTCCCATTCCTCAGCCTACCAACTGGACCAAAATTGGTAACTCGATGGCACATAACAACAACAACAACAAAAAGGAATTAAAAAAAAAAAAAGAAGATGCCATTCTTACCTATTGAGCTCAGGTTTCTGAAGGTTTCCATCATCACATCTCTGTAGAGTTTCCTCTGAGCAACATCCAGCAAAGCCCATTCTTCCTGGCTAAAGACCACAGCCACGTCCTCAATGACCACCGAGTCCTAAAACATCCCACACGTTCTGGATCAGCAAGATAGCATGTACTCCAATGCGTACAAGAATGAAGGGTGAAGAGGCGGGGCAAGACGGTGGACTAGGCAGAAGGATTGCACAGACCCTCTTCAACAAAGAAAAGGGAAACCAATTAA